TCTATTGTTTATTTAATTTTTAAAGATATTAGGCATCGTTTTCAACTTACTGCTAAGCTATGTGATCACTCCTTTCCAGACTCATTCACTGTCCCCCTCTCCAAAGCTAGTGGGTTTTCCTAGCTCTATCATTCGCCTTTTCTTATTGTTGACTTAAATGTTTCCTCTGAGTAATCTCTTCACTCCCAACACTTCAACTACCTACTGTGTCAGCATCTGACAAAGTAATGACATCTCCCTTTGCTCTCCTTAGCTCCAGACCCACGTATTCAGTTTGATGTTTCATGGGTACTTCAAAGACAACCTGTCCTGAATCTAAATCGTGCTTTTCTCTTCCACCTACCTGATCACACCTACTTGAGTTTTTCCTACTTGCTTAATGATGGCACTGCATATACTGGTCCCAAAGGCCAAAACCTTGGAGTTATGCTTAGTGGTTTCTAATTGCTTCCTACTTAGATCACATCAGCACAACCTAAATGTATACAATTTTCATTTGCCAATCCTACTTCAATAGGCTGTAAAACCTAGTATCAAGCACCACAGATTCTAACTCACACTCTGACAGCTCCATCTGCTGCTCCTTAGCTTGGATATCACTGTGTTTTCCCTTTGCCTGTCCCTATAAACTCCCAGCTGGGCTCATTGCCTCCAATTCTTTCTACTCCAGGTTGCCTGCTACATCAGCAATCCTCATCCATTTTTCTTCCATAAAATGCATAGACAAGACATCTTCTTATGGGCTACTAAAACATTTAGGGAGGAACTTGAGAAGCATTTTAATCATTCATAATCTTCCATTGGCCTGCACAACTGTGCGTAATCTGACCTCTTATCTCACACTCACCCCTCATCTTTGTTTTACATTTCTCTTCCCATCATTTGTGAACTCCCTGGCTCTTCCCTGCCCTTTTCCATGTTCTCCTCTCCCATTTTCTCTCCTTTCTGACCTCAACTAAGTGATACCACTTTTGAGAGGCTTTTCTTGAATACTCCTCTATATCAAATTCACTCACTCTTCCCCAAAGAACTTGCCATAATTTATAATTGTGCGCTTTTTTTGGTTTTGTTTTGCATTAAGCCTGGCTCATGAACATTTCTAAACTTTGTGAAGTCAGAGACCATATCTATTATATTCACCATGACATCCCATGACCCCCACATAGAATCTAGCAGACGGTGGGTACTCAATACATATTTCTGAAAGAATAAATCCATCATCTCAACTATTAATGGCATATCAGTAGTCTAGCTAACTACAGGCTCAGTCTATGGATTATGGGCAATTCCCACCCCTAAAGAACATGTTGTAAGGTTAGTAAAGATATTACAGGGATAATTTTGACTGCTTTAACGTAAAGAAAAATAAATCTCCAGCTGAAACCGGTTTGGCTCAGTGGATAGAGCATCAGCCTGCGGACTTAAATGTCCCAGGTTTGATTCCAGTCAAGAGCATGTACCTTGGTTGCAGGCACATCCCCAGTAGGGGGTGTGCAGGAGGCAGCTGATCAATGTTTCTCTCTCATTGATGTGTCTCATTCTATCTTTCTCTCTTCCTCTCTGTAAAAAATCAATAAAATACATAAAAAAATAAATCTCCAGTAATCTAGAATGTTAATCATTCATTATTAAAATGAATGTTAAATCTGATCACAATACATTGGACATTTATTGTCTGGCTATTAGACATGCCCTCTTTGTTTGATTACCAGAGATTTCCCCCCGAAAACATGAAGCCCATCCTGTAGTTCTCCTGCTTATGAATTTTCAGTGGATTCCTTAGAACTAACAAAAATGTTCAATAGGTCCAGAATGAATGAATGTTTTCAAGATAAAGCCCTAATTACTTGGCTTGAATAACAAAGCAATACTCAAGCTAGGCCTGGCCATTCTTTCCAACTTCAACCTCAGTTTATCATAGGCCATGATCAAGCAAGGTTCTTTCATACTTGGCCTCTTTGAGAAATGTCCCACTTTTGTTCCTACATGGTTGTTGTATTTGTCCTTTAACATCCATCTCTGCCAAAGCTGGTTTGGCTCAGTGGATAGAGCATTGGCCTGCGGACTGAAAGGTCCCGGGTTCGATTTCGGTCAAGAACATGTACCTTAGTTGGGGGCACGTCCCCAGTAGGGGGTGTGCAAGAGGTAGCTGATCAATGGTTCTCTCTCATTGATATTTCTAAGTCTCTATCCTTCTCTCTTCCTCTCTGTGAAAAATCAGTAAAATATATTTAAAAAAAAAATCCATCTCTCTCAGCCCTGGCCAGTGTGGCTCAGTTAGCTGAATGTACTCGCATGTACCAAGAGGTTGCTAGTAGCATTCCTTGTCAGAGTGCATGGCCAGGTTTCAGGCATTATCCCCAGTAGGGGGCATGCTGGAGGCCAAATGATGGTTTTCTCTCACTGATGTTTCTTTCTCTCCCTCTCCCTTTCTCTCTTTCTAAAACCAATAAAAACATTTTTTTTTAAAAGAAACTCTTACCTTTAAAAAAATTCACATCTCTTACACATTTTTGTTACATATTCTTCTGTGCTTTCATTTATGGTATAATCTCTTAATTTTTAAATTTATCCTGTATTCCATGATAATTTATTGGAATGTCTATCTCCAAATCTGGATGATAACTCCTGGATTTGACTCTGTATTCCCAGTGTTCAGCCTAATGCATAGCATATAATGGCATCCAGTAACTTATGGGTATCTGAATGTATCTCTTATTGCTTGGAGTAAAAATGCCTTTTCCTACACACGCAATGGTATGAAAGATGATTTAATACTCAACTGACTCAAAAAACCTGCTCAAAACATAATAGAACTGAAACATATTGCTGATATTGCTTTCCACACCCCTAATATTAGCATATTATTTCTCTGCTTTATTGCCACCAAGAAATCTTTCTTCTTCTTTTATCCTAGCCCAGTGACAGAGATCCACCTTAAACTTTTCTTTTTGGTCTCTCTTTGCCTTACAACGAAAGGCCAGGGAAGAGTTCCTTTCTATTATAGTAGGGTGGGATTTCTACCATTTTGATTTTCATGATGGAGACATATGTCAACTGGATTTGAATCTTTGGGACTTGCCTGTGTCTCAAATAGTCATGAGGACCACTTGGTTCATGACATGTCATTATGCTAATGCATAAGAATTTTGCTGCCATGCTATGAGCTATAAGATGAGAACAACTTTAAAGGAACTCTATTAATAAATAGAAGTATCAAAAGGACCTTCCCATTAGTGTTTTCATACATAAGAAAGTCTTACTCATGCTTTTATCTACTCATACTTGTTTTTTGACTTGTATTAAATGAATCAAAAGGATCCTCCTTTCTTGACTCCTTACCTCCCATCACACTTTATTTATATATTTGATTTTCTTATAGACAACCACAAAAATAATGCTTAAACTTGGGAAAAAACATGATGTTTGATTAAGTAATTGATGTAATATATTTGATACATACATTATAATGCAAACAAACATGACTGCTTTTAACAGTCAAGAAAGGCAGATGTTTTAAGAAACAATATTCTATACCAAACCATGTGTTTTTATAAAGTAGCACTGTTAGTGGGAATGCAGATTTTTGCAGCCACTGTGGAAAGCAGTATGAAGTTACTTCAAAAAATTAAAAAAGGAACTATCTTATAATCCAGTGATTTCACTTCTGTGAATTCATCCAAAGAAACCTGAAACATTAATTAAAAAGAATACATGCACACCTACATTCATTGCTGCGTTATTTACAATAGCCAAGATTTGGAAGCAGTCAAGTGCCCACCAGTAAATGGATGGATAAAAATGCTGTGGTACATTTACACAATGGAACATTACTGGGCCATAAAAAAGAAGGATATCTTACCCTTTGTGACAACATGGATGGACCTGGAGAGTATTCCACTAAGTGAAATAAGCCAGGAAGAGAAAAACAAGTACTAGATGATTTCATTCATATATGGAATCTAATGAACAAAATGAACTAACAAGAAAAAGAGTGACAAACTCTAGATACAGAGCAGGCTGATAGCTGTTGCAGGGTGGGAGTTGGGTAGGGGTATGGAGGGATTAAACATAAAAGGAAAAAAAAGAAAAAAAACTCATGGACATGGACACAGTGTGGAGATTGCTGAGGGGAGGGGGCTGGAGGGAGGAAGAGAAGAGTATGGGAGACTTAAATGGTGATGGATAGAGATTGACGTGGTAAACACATGATACAGTATATAGATGATGTGTTGTGGAATTGTGCGCCTAAAACCTGTATAATTTTGTTAACCAGTGTCACTCCAATAAATTCAATAAAAAAAGGCAAGATATAAAATCTTGGTGACCATATGGAGAAAAGGGAACCATTATGCATTGTTGAATACTCAAGATATAAAATTTTAAATTGGTACAGTAACTATTGAAAACAGTATGAATGTTCCTCAAAAATTAAGACTAGAACTACCATCTGATACATCAATCAGTTGGTAGTTCTGGTCTTATGGTTATGTATCCAAAGGAAATAAAAAGAGAATCTCGAGAAGATGTCTACATGCTCATATTCTTTGTAACATATTTTTCACAATACTCAAGATATAAAAATATCCTAAGTATTCATAAATAGATAAAGAAGATGTAACTATATATATGTGTGTATATATGTATATATATACATGTATATTTCAGTCATGAGAAAGAAAGACAAACTACCATTTGTGACCACATCAATGGAACTTGAGAAAAGTATGCTAAGTGAAGTATAATGATGGTAATGAGGAGAAGAGGGCCAGATTGAATAAGCTATGAGGAGCTAATGTACATTACAGTGATTATAGTTAATAATAATATTTTATATACTTTAAAATTGCTAAGATAGTATATCTTAAAAATTTTCGTCACAAGAAACAGAAGCAATATTCTATACCAAGTCATGTGTTTTCATAAAGTAGCTAACCTCATTAAGTTGGTTAAATAAATGCCCTTGCTGAGTCATGTCTTCTTTTGAAAAAAAAAAATAGGTGGTGTTTGCATTGCTCAATCGCAGAAAATCCCACGTGAACCAAGACCTGGAGAATTTGAAAAGATTATCAAACGGCTGCTAGAAACACCTAATGCCCGGGCAGTGATTATGTTTGCCAATGAAGATGATATCAGGTACTGATTAATTTTCTTCCTTATGTAGGATCAGATGTGTGGCCCATCTCCTTTTTTTTTCTAACATATTTTATGTTCAATATAAAGTCTTGTGAGATTTCACAGGAATTGAAACATTCTTATGCAATTTGCCTTATGGTGCATGGTGACACAACAGCCTTCGAGTTTCTAAGTCTGAAATGTCTATTGAGTAAAACCCGGGGACTGAAAGAAGTGAGACAAGTCAGGTTGATAGAATGAAGGGAATACGATTAAGGATAAGGCTAATTAACAGGTGCTGGAATTAAAGTCACCAATATATTTTCGTTAGAAGATGATAAGCCTCCGGCAGTGAGAATGATTGTCTAATGGTGCCCTAGCGAGTGTATATATAATAACTTGATATAGCCATTTTGTAACATTCATAAGTGTAGTGTTTCTTGACAAATGTGGTATGTTTATTTCTTTTTATTTTGATAGGAGGATATTGGAAGCAGCAAAAAAATTAAACCAAAGTGGGCATTTTCTCTGGATTGGCTCAGATAGTTGGGGATCTAAAATAGCACCCGTTTATCAGCAGGAGGAGATTGCAGAAGGGGCCGTGACAATTTTGCCCAAAAGAGCATCGATTGATGGTAAGGATGCATGGTAGAAATTTTTTTTCATTCCAATTAAATCAAAACTCAAAGGTGAAACCAGAGTATCAGTGTATAATGAAACACACCCATTATGGATGACCCTGGAGAGAGTGTTTAGTTCTGATGGCAAAATTGCCAAGACAGTCATTATTTAACCCAGCACATACAATTTTTATTAGAAGAGTACCTACTGTATTTTTTTAAGAAAGGCAATTATAGGCCGAAACCGGTTTGGCTCAGTGGTAGAGCATCAGTCTGTGGACTGAAGGGTCCCAGGTACGATTCCAGTCAAGGGCATGTACATTAGTTGCGGGCACATTCCCGGTAAGGGGTGTGCAAGAGGCAGCTGGTCGATGTTTCTCTCTCATTGATGTTTCTAGCTCTCTTTCCCTTCCTCTCTTTAAAATATCAATAAAATATATTTTTTTTAAAAAGAAAGGCAATTATAGCTGGCCTTACATATTTCCATGATGTTAGCCGTTTTCATGATTTCACCCTCTAAGTTTGCACATTTCCATGGGCATATATGATGGTTATAGCGCGGTTGGAGGGAGAGGGTTTGCTAATTAGAAAATGAAGACATGATGCTGGGCTGACCCCATGGGTAAAATAACCCCCCCAGCAAAGATGTGGAGCATCCCTGAAAGGCAGCTTGACTCCCAAATGCCTTTGCCAATGGTGCTGACAGTGATCCCTTTCCCACTCTCCTTCTGAGTAAGGCATTATTTCCAGCTGGTCTCTCTTCAGTATGGCCATTACCTGAGTAGGCTGACACTTTAGCCCATTAGCTATGACTCAGAAGATTCTATTAGTATTGATTAGTTAATTGAATTAGTTGAAAATGAAACATATAGGAGAGATAAATTATGAGGTGGGTAGAAGCATAGAAGACTTGAACATTAAACCCTGAAAGGAGAGAGAGAAAGAAAGAGAGGAGGGAGTGAGGGAGGGAGGGAGGGAGAGAGAGAGAGAGAGAGAGAGAGAGAAAGAGAGAGAGAGAGAGAGAGAGAGAGAGAAGTCTGAGTTGGTTCTGACTATTTAGTATGAGGTCACTGGCCACTGTCACTGGGAGAGCTAGAGGAGGGGGAGGTTGATATGACCACAGGCTTCCCTGTCACACTCATCTCCAGTGCCAGTTCCTGAATGGTGAATGGTGGGGGCAGAGATATTGCCCACTGATTCCGCTTGGCTTTTGCCATAAGGGAAGCTTTTGGTTCTCCCGCATTTTTTTTTTTTTCATGGAACAATCACAGTATAACATAATATCCACTTAAAAGCTCCGATAGTATTTGTTTTTGCTTTTGAAAGAATATTAAAATCATACCTTTCTTCTTTAAAATAGGATTTGATCGATACTTTAGAAGCCGAACTCTTGCCAATAATCGAAGAAATGTGTGGTTTGCAGAATTTTGGGAGGAGAATTTTGGATGCAAGTTAGGATCACATGGAAAAAGGAACAGTCACATAAAGAAGTGCACAGGTAGCCATTTGCATATTTTCTTTGGCGCGTTCGTTCTATCATTACCTGAGAAATGAAGTGTTTCTATGTGGGTAACTATGAGGGTATTTTCTATTTTCTTATGTCTCTTGTCACGATTTCCCAGAAGGGCTGAGCACACACTGCTCATTCAACAAACAGGTGTAATCATTGGTTCTTACAGTTAAACAAGTGTTTATTGGGCATGCGCCGGGTGCTGGGTATTTCAGTCCTATTTAAAAAAGCACTTATTCAGTTTCTACTTTGGGCAGAGCACTTTATTAGGATTGAGGGGGGTATGGACAAATAAGCAAGACATGATGTTGCTCTCTAATAAAAATGATGGATCATAATAATTTGCTATAAGACATTAATTAAAAAAAATACTACTTTAATCCATGTCCCCTATGCGATTGCCTTTCATTTCTGTATAGCACTAGCAGCTATGGTTTTTCATTTTATATATCTTATGCTTAAATATAGTAGTGATATTAAATATTCATATTTTAAATGTAAGAATTCAACATTTTAATTACCCATTTTATGTGTGGAATATTAAAAATTACTTAGAACTAAGTAGTACATTTGGCAAGATCACAAATATAAGGTCAGTATGAACTTTAAAAAATATTTTTTATGCCCTGGCTAATTTGGCTCAGTGGATAAAGGTGTCGGCTTGAGGACTGAAAGGTCCCAGGTTAGATTCTAGTCAAGGGCACATGCCTGGGTTGCAGGCTCGATCCCCAGTGTGGGGGCGTGCAGGAAGCAGCCAATCAATGATTCTTTCTCATCATCAATATTTCTCTCTCTCTCCCTCTCCCTTCCTCTCTGAAATCAATAGAAATACATTTACAAAAATCCTTTTTACATATATTATATAAGACACTAACACATGAAAAATGAAATTTAAAGGCTACTGTTTATAGCATGATAATAAAACCATAAAACATTATGGGTAATATTAACAAAGATGCATAAATCCTCTCTACTGAATATTACAAAACTTGAATAGGTATTTTATAAGCAGACTGCCTCCCTCATGTCCATATTTTGATATATCCTTCTTTCTTTCAATTCACTTCCTTTAGAATCAGCTGTTCAAATAAAAGATATACTACAATAAGTACTAAAGTGGACATATGAGCAGAGCGGAATAGGTGCCATTCTGTAGAGGGAACTGAGTGAGGAGAGCTTGCATCCAAGTGTGAGGAGATAGACACAAAATAAATAAATGTATAAAGGAACAGAGACTTCCAGATTCTGAGACATGCTTATAGGAAATAGCAGAGAGAATGTGAAAGGGTAACCGAGAGGCATGGCAGGGAGGGGAGCAATTCGATTGTGTGATCATGGGAGGCTGCACCAAGCAGATGGCATATGCCATGAGACCTGAAAAGCCAGAAGATGCCAGCTATGTGAAGATAGGAGGGCAGCCCATTGCAGGGTCCAGGGCAAGTCTCTTTTGTTCATGGTGCAGGGAAGGCTGGAGTGAGTGAGAGCGAGCATAGTTAGTGAGAGGGAGCATGAGGACAGATGAAGCTAACGAGACTGGCTGGGGCCAGATCATACAAGTTCTGGAAGTTCTTTCCAGAAGCTCCAGAGCTGAGGAGTTTGGGCTCTTTCCTCCTTCTAGGGTAGAATTACTTGAGGCTTTTTACCCAGGGCATTGCTCAGATGCCTATTTTAAGAAGATTCCTCTGTAGAAGTGTGAGGAGAATTGGAGATCAGAGATGAGAAAGGAAAAGGGTCAATTAGGGACCACACAGTTCTTGCGATGGGCTAAACAAAGACATGTGCTTTAGGGGCAGACCACAGAGGACAGACGTCTAGTAGGTAGTATTTATACTACATGGTGAGTGATTAACACTGAGGGTGGTAGTTAGTGATGGAATATTAAATCTCTGCCAGCTAGGTCTAGGAAAATAGTTACTACTTACCTAACAGAGAGGATAGAATGAATGGTGAATTGGAGGGACTGACTTGAATTTGGTTTTGATGTAGCCCCATGGAACTGCCCAGCAGGTGGCAGCATAAGGTCTGGGACCCCACAGAGCTTTTGGCACTAAAAATACAAATTAGGGAATGGCAGATGGAGACCTGGAAGTTAAAGACCAGGGCAGAGGTACAATTGCCCTTGGAGCTTGAGGAGAGATGAGGGATGACAATGAAAAACTCTAGAAAAGGAAACTGATCAGATGAGTTTCGGAAGGAAATGAAGGGTTAGGGGTCACTGCCTTCTAAGTCTCCAGGAAATAAGAGGGGATGCACACAGTGCTGCAGAGAGGGGTGGCTGAGGCATAGGAAGTGTAATAGGGAGATACACGTTGTGAAATTGAACAGGGCTTGAACTTGATTGAGAGTAGATGAAAGAATGCTTGTTCAAGAAATTTGGCAGAAAAAGAAACAGTGTGCAGAAGTCTTCTTTAGGATAGAGCAGGTGTAATCCCAATTTCAGATAGACTGAGCATTCAGTAGGAATAGCTAGAGAGAGAAATGAAATGTGGAGTAGGATATTGACAGAAATGCTAGGGAGAGGCAAGAAGAGGAGGTATTATTTTAAATTATGTGTCTAAGTTGAAAAAAATAAAAAACATGCAGATAAGCAGAGGGGGAAATTATTTAATTAAATGCTAAATTTGGGCATAGATATTAAGGAATTTTAGAAAATGTATACTTAAGTTCAAGTTTTCAATTTAAAACTTCATGGAAGAGGTGCACTTGATAATAAGAAAGGTTTGAGAAAGAACATCTAAGATTTTGGACATGGTGGGTGAGCAGGGCAGAGACAGAGAGTGGGATGGGGAGAGGGATGAGGAAGCGTGAGGAGGTCTGTCTCACTGGGTAGGAGGGAGCATGGTAAGGAATAATGGGCAATAAAGAGGGTCCAGTTTATAAAAGGATTTGAGAGTTGATGCGTGGAGTCCTTTCTGTGTTTTTCATTCAGATACATTTTACACTGTGCTTCATTCTGAAATCTGAATGTGTTTGATCATCAGTACATTCATATCCTATTGTTTAGACTATTTAATGGAAATCTACCAGTAACTGAAATGATGAATACACTTTTCTTTTTATATATATGACATAACAAAATTGGTAAGAAATTAGCTATTAACTAATTGCATAACTTGTAACAGACTGTTTTCAGAATACACATTTTCCCTAAATTTACATTTCTCCCCACATGTTGATGTATATGGATGTCCTGATAGCTGAAGATGGTGTGAATTGGGTACTTATTTCAGGCATAAACATTTACCTGGGTTGTAGTAGAGAGCTGACTTGGAGCCAAGTCTGCTTCAGATTTCTTTGATTTACTTGGGTGTTGTTAAAATTGCAGCAATCTGTCCGATTAGAACTATTCTCCTGCAATGGAAATAGTGTTTTACTCCAAGTGCTAGGGCAAATGCATCCTTAGGGATCAAGTACAATAAATTCCATTATTTCAGTATCATCCAAATTCCATTGTGGGTGATACTGAAATAACTTGTCCCTGGAGAGAAAATAAGTAAATAAAGCAACATCCTAACTTACATAAAAAAACAAACAAACAAACAAACAGCTGAAACTGGTTTGGCTCAATGGATAGAGCATCGGCCTGCAGACTGAAGGGTCCCAGGTTTGATTCCGGTCAAGGGCATGTATCTTGGTTGCGGGCCTGTCCCCAGTGGGGGAAGTGCAAGGGGCAGCTGATCGATAATTGTCTCTCATCAATGTTTCTAACTATCCCTTTCTCTTCCTCTCTGTAAAAAAATCAATAAAACATATTTAAAAAAAAAACATTAAAAAACAAACAAACAGTACCACATGAACATTTCCAAATCGTGAGAGAAAATACTTGTGTCCCAACTGACCATCAACACCAAGTTTTCATCTCTGTTTGGGGGAAGGGGGAAGATGATCTCCCACCTTAATGGTCAAATATACTTCAGATGGCAGGATATTCATAAATTAAGAAATGCACAGGGTGTGAAACTTGTTTATATTTCCAATTCCATCTAATTCAGAAATGAATGTAGACAGATGTGCAAGTTGCAAAAGTTGGCCTTATCAGGTTCACATTTTAACCATCTACAATGAGTCAAAAAATTAGGGAACTCTGTGAAAATGGCTGGTTCCTTTTAGCTGCATTTGGAACAGCAGTTGTGAGTTAAAATTTTACCTTAAGCGATGGTAATCTGTGGATGTAATTATTTTCTTCCATTGGGGGCAATGCTAGCATGTGTTTACATGGGTAAGAGAGTGCTTCCCAGCAGGGCAGGGCCTCTTCATATAAACCTGCAGGAGACAGAGTATCCTCTTCCTGAAATTAATGCAGCGAGTTTTCTGAGATGATCTTTCCCCTAGAGTCTCAGGAAAACTGTCAAAAAGACGTGATATTACTGTTAACTTTGATATCTGTACAAGTTCCAGAGTGAATTAATTCCTACCATCCATCTAGCTACTTATGTGGTTATTACTGCTTCTGAGAGCTGCTGAGTTCTGAAAGCCAGGGCTGCTTAATCCTACTTAAAATTCCCTTTGTCTTCTCAAGAAGAAGAAAGAATTCTTTTATACTTGTTATCGTTGGGTGTTGGGAGTTATGGTAGAGACATTTATCTGACCTCTCCATTTTTCCTTTCCTTGTTCCACCATCACACTTACTGCCTTCCCACTCCTCACACAGAGGCACACACCCTCCCTGGGGAATTGTGGGTCTCCGTTATCTCTCCCAGCCTTGGCACATTTTTCACACACCTATTTCCCCAGTTGGGCCTCTGCCTGAACTCTTCTTCCACTGTTCCCCTCGCCTCATTTTTTTCTTTTTCTCACCTTTTCTCTGGCCGGTTCCTTACCTGACATTGTTTCGTTCAGCAAGACTCTCACTGGCAGTGAAGAGTTTTTCTGTGTGCTTTCTTGAGGTGTCACTTAGCCATTGTAATGGCTGTCACGCTGACTTTCTGTCTGTTAGAGAGGCCTACAGTGAATACTGCAGGGACCTGAGTGTGTTCAGCTGAGCTGCT